GTATACATATCTGAAAGCTACAATATCATTAAAATATTAGAATGATTGCAACGCAATGAAACATCTAACATAACCTAGGGCCATTGCATATTAGATACTTCATTCCAGTTTGAGTGAACATCTATGTCTTGGTCACAAAGACACAAGAGCATAGAACACCACTTTCAGAGTTCCACCTCAATGTGGCTATCTCAGGCCACACCGTCATGCAACACTTGGCCATTGGTGATCAATCCACAAACCAAGTATTCCTACCTTACAGTAAGGAATCCGGAAAGCATCGAATACGCCCACTACATGCAAATGGCTGTGGGGTTTTAATCACTCACGCCATAACTTCTACTTAACACAATATGCATAACGACTAAAACATGCAGTGAAATACTTGGAAAAATTATCAGAATAATCGGAAGAACCTCAAGCAAATATCAAACAACTAATAAAGTTACATGCTAAGCGCATAACCTACTTCATGCAACAACCATTCAAACTCAAACCTAGCATCTAGCGATAAACAAAAAACAAATAGCGGCTGATCGAATCATCACCATCCGCGCCCAGAATCACCTTTGTTCTCTGAAACGTTATGATTCGAATTGGAACTTATGATTTAGATCTGACCTTCCTTCACTACAACGGATATGGCTTAGGCTATATTTCGACTATTCCTGATCCTACACGATGGTTCACGACGATGGCTTAGACTGAATCACGAACACGAGCAAAGGTTTGGATATTTAAGGTGATTTTATCAGAGGTTCACTATGGTTTTCCATGAAAATAATAAAGCTCCTAGGTCCTATTTATAGGAAACATTTTCGTCTAGCAGCTTCAAATTTGTCGTGCTTCTCGTTGACTCGCGCACACGATTGTGACACCTCGTGCTTACGGATTTATTGTGCTTCTGATTTGTCGTTCTTACGGAATTGTATCATGCTTCAGATTTGTCATGCTTACGAATTTATCGTGTTTACGTATTTGTCGTGCTTATAGACTTGTCGTGTTTAGTCGATCCCGAGCAGCAGTGTCGTGCTTCCGCTAACTTAACTATTCTTGTAAAAATATCAAGCCTGAAAAACACCTTGCCATCTCGTGTTTTTTTTGCCACCTCGTGCTTGTGAACGGTCATGCTTGATCATCTTACCCTAAGGTAAGTTTTGACTCGATCGTTCTTTGCATATGTTTTGATCTGTTGCTAGGGTTATTACACTAAGACTCATTCCTTGAGTTTTTAGTCTTGTTCTAGTTGTTTAGGGCCATTATCTTACGAATCTCTTCCTAGGATTTTCTTCTTTTCCGGTCGTTTCTTGACTGGAACCCTCCTAAATACATTTACCTCACCATAAAAGAAGTGCTGGGATAATAAGTATAGTGAGAGCCGAAAGGGTATACCTAACCAGCAAGCCTTTATTTCAAACCCAAAAGTTGGAGGATTGGGCTGGCGTGGTAGCAAAATCACGAAGAAATCCAGAACATTTGAAAGTCAATGCAAGGAAACGTCACTTACGCCAGAACAAGTAAGCTCGAAAGGGGTACATTGACGAAATTCCAATAGCCTAAGAGTTAACCCTTAGGAGGATTGAAGGAGAGAAAAATGAAGCGAGGTCGTTGTTAGGATGATAAAGCCGCAAAAAATGTATGGGGAGATCCGCTCAAAACCTGATCTCTAGAAGCAAGTCATTCTTCAGGAGTAGGGCTTAACCAAGATGAAGTGGCCAACTAGTCAACGAACAATAATTAATTTTTGCTATT